TACTTATACCCAAGGAAGATTCAGAATACACTTTAACAACCTTTGTCATCAGGAGAATGCAAATCAAAACCACATGGAGTTACCACTTCACATCCAACAACACGGGAAGAGTAAAGGATGTATAGACTATAAAAACTAGACAATGAAAAGCAGTAGGGCACAGAAAAATTTGAGCTTCAGGTCCAACTGTGGCATTGTGAAATCACTTGTTACCGATAGAATAAGAGGACGCAGTGATTCCACCTAGAGGTGGGACTGGATCTAGCTAGAGACCTCTCCCCAAGAGAATTAAAGCATGTTCACAGAAAATCCATCTATGAGTTTTCATGGGAGCATCATCTCTAGTGTATCAAAAGGGAAAATTAACTCAATGTCCCTCTGCTGGTGGGTGAGAAAGCAAAATGTGGCCTAGTGATAGGATGGGTTAGCTTTCAACAGTATCTTCACATTCTGCAAATATACAGGGACAGAAGCATGTTAGTCACCATCAAAGCTGGCAAAGAGGCAGGTATCTACTATCTGATACAGTGACGTGCCACAGTATTTCATTTTTGTTGGGACAACTGTTACTAGCACTGTATTTTAAATATATATCTAAAATGATATGTATACATACACCCACACCCCCCCACACACACACACCGGGAAAATGTATGTGCATGTGAATGCAAGTGCTTGTGATATGTATACATACACCCACACCCCCACACACACACACACACACCGGGAAAATGTATGTGCATGTGAATGCAAGTGCTTGTAGAGGCCAAAAGAGGGAGTTGGGTACCCTGGAGCTGGAATTAAAGGCGGTTGTGAGCAGCCTGATTGTGGATGCTGGGAACTGAACTTGGATCTCAGCAAATATGTTTTGTGTTTCTATGTCATTAATGTGTAGACACGGGGTTAATGTTTTGGAACTAACCTGGCAAATTCTACTCTCTCTAATACACTTATCAATTCCAGATGATTTTTTTCTTCTTGGGATTTTCCAGGTAGATGATTAAGTATAGCTGTTTGTATTATGATCCGTATTATTTTTCTCATTTCCAATTTGATGCCTTGATTTCCTTTTCTTGTCTTACTGCATGGCCATGGCTTCCACCATTGTGTTGAAGAGCAGTATGAGGGACATTCTTATCATGTTCTTGATTTTAGGGAGGAAGAAGTCAGACTTTTACTATTAAACACATCAGCTGTAGGACTTTTATAGATTTATTTATGTTTTTTAGATGGGATCTCATTATGTAGTCTTGGCTATCCTGGAAGCATGCTATGTAGTAGACCAAACTATCCTCAAACTCATAGAGTCCATTTTCCTTGCCTCCCGCAATTAAAGTTGTACATTACCACACCCATGGATGTTAGTACTCAGGCATCTGTACTGGCCTGTCCTTGGGGTCCTGACAGAATACACCCACAGTTGCACTAAGAGCCACTAAGAGCACCACCTGTGCACATTCACTATGTTCCCTTTTAAAAGGGCCCTGCCTACCTCCCATCATTCTTTTTTCTTGTCTGTCTGTCTGTCTGTCTGTTCCCCTCCTCTCCCTCTCTGTCCTCCTTCTCCCCCTCTTTACTCTCTCCTCTCTCCTGATGCTCCTGTCTCTGGAGGCTGGTCTCCCCTTTCCCTTTCCCCCTTTTATGATCCCTTTCCCTAATAACCCCCCCCTCTGCTTGAACCCTGTCACATGGAGTCTTGATGAGGGACGTCCTTCTATGTGTATGTTTGTCTTATTGGTTGTTAAATAAAACACTGTTGGCCAATAAGGGAGCAAGTTAGGTGGGACTAGGAGTCGAAGAGGATTCTGGGAAATGTAGTAAAGTCTTGTGATCCAGGCAGGAAGTGATATAGCAGGCAGACTCAGAATATAAGCAGGGACAAGCAGAAAGTCGTTCTCTTCCTCCTCCTCTCTGTGGAGCCGCCATGTGATCCCAGGAAGACAGGACACATTCCACCGGCATCCTCCACAAGATAAGTCTTATAAAATATATAGATTAATAGTTATGGTTGATAATTAAGACTGAGCTATCAAATAAGAAATCCTAGTCATTGGCCAGCAGCATTGTACCTAATCTAAGTCTCTGTGTATTATTTTGGGTGCCCACGTGGCAGTGGGGCTCAGGCAGCTTGAAGGAAAGATTTATCATTACAAAATGGTGTCAGCAAGTGGGATAACCCCATGCCCCAAGGTTCTCAGAGGAAGTGGGGAACCTGCTGCCACAGCCACCCTGTTGAGCGGCTGGGCGACATTGGAGCAACTTCCATACACTTGTGCTGTCCTGCGCTCTTGGGGGTTGGACTCAGCACTCCTGAGATGGCCTGCAGCCCTCAAGAGTTCTAGGGGTTAGGATTCTGTGCTCTCAAGCCACCTTCCCACGACTAGTCAAGTGACACAGAACCTGGGCAGCTGGTGGTAATGTTTTACGAACTTCCACATAAATACTTCACAAAAGCTTAAAAAGAGACTTTAGAAGCCAAGGAACAGAGATAAGCATGGCTTCTTGGTAGCAGCATTTACTTGGGTGGTCTCTGTTTTGCTAGAGACAAGCAGAGCATCTCCTTTAAGAGAGGCTTCCTGACTCAGCATAAGTGGCAAAAAAACACAAGGCTCTTTAGAGGCCCTGCTAACAAATGGTGTGTACGAGCAGCTGGCAGTGGCAGTGGTCACATCTCCAAGCCATCAGCATGCTGCTTGATTGCAGCATAGATCAAGACAGTGCGCACAGCTCTCAGTGCTGGTGATAAACGTACCCATGCCATCTTGGAAAGACAGCGGCTAAAACAGCTGCCACTTTAATTTTATCAGTGTTTTTTTTTAGCAGTCAAAAGACTGCATGGCCAGGAAAAGGTAAATATTTACAGTAAAGACAGATTTAGATGAAGAAAAACCTCTAAGGTTTACAGTGTGTTTAAAAATATATGTAGACTTGTGAGAGAAAAGAAACAGGATAAAGTAATTAAAAGAAAGAAAGGAAGGAAGGAAGGAAGGAAGAAAAGGAGAGGAGAGGAGAGGAGAGGAGAGGAGAAGAGAGGAGAAGAGAGGAGAAGAGAGGAGAAGAGAGGAGAAGAGAGGAGAGAGAAGCCGGTGGTGGTGGCCCATGCTGGTAGGATTTGCTGAAGGAAGCAGAGGCAGGCAGGTTTCCACATAGAAACCCTGTCTCAGGAAAAAAGTAAAAAGAAGGAAGTAAAAGAAATAGAATAATAAATAAGCCACATAAAGATGGAAAATACACAGAGTCTGGATACTATATGCTATGTTGTTATCTTTATATTGTTTGATTGCTGAGGAAAGAGCTACAACTGCTAACAGACATTTGATTATAAATGCTGCTAAATCATGCTTTGACTTCAAAATTTAAGTCTAAGGATAGGTTACTTGGGAAAAGAGTTTTTGCTTATGTTTCCACAGAAAATGGAAAGCTATGGATTCCTTCCAGACTAATATGGTTTGATCAAGCAAGACCCCCTGAAGCAGTGACCCAACTGATCCTACATCCAAAACAGCTGAGATGATACAGTCATAGGCGACTACAGCCAGATTTCTGTGTTTTATCATGATCCCCATGGTATGGACATCGCCCCCAACCAGCCGGAAGCAGTTTGGAATGAACAACGCCCAAATTCCCAAATATTGTTTATAAATGTTTGTTTTTATTTAAATGGGGTTGGTTATAAACAGTAATGATCACAGTCAATCTCTTTTAAAGGAAAAGGGGAAATAGGATATAGAAATGAATATTTTGCATTGGTATGGATTTTCATAAAGGAAAGGGGGAAATAGGATATAGAAATGAATATTTTGCATTGGTATGGATTTTCATTTATTGATACACTTTAAGGTCAATTTTGTGATATGTATGTCCCCTCTAGTTTAGGTATTGGGTTTATACAGATCTTTTAAAATGATATACATAATTAAATAAAGGTTATATAATTGCCTATGATAGTCAGAACTTATAATTAGGTTAGCTAGGTCTTATATATATACAGAGATGTATTTGAGATGGATAGGTATTCTTCAAACCTTTCAAAGACCTACAGAAATATGGCATTTAAATGGTTTAGGGTTTTTCTTGGCAGTGAGACACAAATGCTCCTGGCACACCAGGATCACCACATCAGAAAGGAGGATGGACATCAAAGAAACTCATTATGGAGTTTGCTTTCAATATGGCAAGATTAGCCATTTGGGCAGGAAACTGCTCTTGCCTAGACTGTTTGTTGCTGTATGAACTGGATATGCAGGAACCACAAGAAAGTGACTGCTGAACTTGTGAAGGGTTCCTGCTTCATGAATAGGTGTGAAACACTATAATGTTTTTTTCTGTATTGAGTGATTTGAGCATATGAATTTTCTTTAGCTTCTGATATGGTGACTTACATTAATTTTCAAATGCCTTACCTTCTTGGCATGCCCTAATCCTTCTGTTTCCTCAGTATTGAATGCAGGTCTAATCTATCTCACTCTTGTTGAATGACACAGATGACTTAAACCATGTGGTTAGAACACCACAGAGAACACAGAGCCAGAAAAGGAGCAGGGATGGTGAGGCAGTGAAGCCAGGATCCTGCCTACAGTGCTGGCTTCAGACCAAACCAAGACTATGATAGGGTTCTGACTCTGGACTGCTTAATTTTTTAATTGGTTAAACTGTAACCGGCTCTGAAGATAAATAGTACCAGGCTTGGAGGGAGAAGACAAAATCTGAGGCTAGACTGACTGGGGACATTGTTGTTCTGCCAGCTCAGCCACTTGCTAGTTGTGTGCTGGCATGAAGAACAAGAAGTAAACTAGGGCATTTCCAGAGTTAGTTTGCTGATTGGTACCTAGTCAGTGCCATCTCAGGGTTAACATCTGCCATTGGGTGCCCATCACTGCTGCCATTCAGTGACACCCAACATGTGGCTGTTCTTTGGCTTTTGACATGGTGGCTTGTGTCAGTTTTTGACTGTTGAACCATACTGTCATATTTTATTCCTGCTTTTGTGTGTCCTATAGGAGACGTGTGGAAGTCATCACCACCACGAACTGGCTGGCTCCAGTCGTATGGGAAGGCACGTTTGACAGAGAGGTCCTGGAGAAATATTACAGAAAGTGGAACATCTCCGTGGGCTTGGCTGTGTTTGCTGTTGGCCGGTAGATGCTGTGACGCCTTGCCCCTCTTATCTTGGGACATGTGGTTCAGCATCCATAGATGTTTTGCTCCCAGAGCTGCATGTCCTCTTTTGTGATCACTACTGCTGAGCATGCCAAATAGAGGTTTGCTACGATGAGTCGATGAGTCGATGAGTCCCTGTACCAAGGCTGGGTCCATAAGGCTACTTGGGAGTTCTTACCAATGCCTTACTCAGCTCTGACTCAGTCAGTAGTTCTGAAATTCCATGGCCATTGTCAGGCCTATGGCTTTACTAACCTGCTTGGTGAATCTTTAGACCCAACATCTCTACCCTGACCTGTTGGGGTTTTTAGTATCAAGCCTGACCTGTTGGGGTTTTTAGTATCAAGGACACTCCTCTTAATCAGCACCCATTGCCTTTAGAAATGTAACCTTCTTTGTTCTGTGTGTTCCCAGCATCACTGACCAGTACCTGGACCCATTCTTGCAATCTGCCAGCAAGTTCTTCATGCCTGGGTATAGTGTGATCTTCTACATCATGGTGGATAGACACATGCAGCTACCTAAAATGAACTACAACCCTCTGCATTCCTTTCAAATACACATCATAGGTGAAGAGAGATGGTGGAACAACTTGGACCTGATGCGCATGAAACTCTTGGCCGAGCACATCCATGAGCACATCAGATATGAGGTGGATTACCTCTTCAGCATGAGCGCCAACCTGGTCTTCCAGAATGAGTTTGGGGTGGAGACCCTGAGCACGTCTGTAGCCCAGCTCCATGCTTGGTGGTATTTCCGGAAGACAAATGACCTTCCCTATGAGAGGAGACCTATGTCAGCAGCCTACATTCCCTTTGGCCTGGGGGACTTTTATTACTCTGGCGCCATTATAGGGGGAGTGCCCTTTCATGTTCTGGACTTGACTCAGGAATACTTGAAAGCTGTTGTTTTGGATGCAGAAAATGGACTTAACAGCACCTATGAGAAATACCTCAACAAATATTTTTACCTCAACAAACCCACCAAAATTCTATCCCCAGAGTACTGCTGGGACTCAACCTTCAAAACCCCTCGGCAAGTGTGGTACATGAAGATTGCTCAGTATCCTATGGACAGCTTATGACACATCAGTTTTTATGAGCTAAAGAACAACAAACAGTAATTCCTTATAGACACGGCATGTCTTTTTAAAAATACACACTTCAGAGGCCTGATAATATATATATATATACTCTTTTCAAATCAACTGTTCTTCCTTGCGATTTTGAATCAACCAATTTGGCTGAAACTAGGATGAATAAAAGATGATATTTCATGTCCATACACATAATGCTGTTAGCTCTGTGTTGTAGGCAACATGAAGTTATTGAGACATGGAGCATATTTTATTTAAATGCAGGAAGACTTTAGGTTACAAAATGAAAGAAAAAAGAATAAATGACCATCCATTCAGTTGTCTAGTATGTAGTATGTTGTCGAGATGCTTGTGACCGGCTCCTCCTCCTCCAGTCCCAGTCTGTCCAGAATGTGGTAGGACCTACACGAATTGGACAATACACGCAGTTATAGAGAGGGGGATTAAGCTAATTTGTGTGTGCATGTATGTGCATGTATGTTTGCGTGTGTGTGCAGGCATGCATCTTAGGGCCAGAGAACAACCTTTGGTATCATTCTCCAGGATCTATCCACTTTGTGTTTCTAGACAAGGTCTCTGACTTCATCTGGAACTTGCCAAGTGGGTTAGATTGACTGCCCGTGAGCCCCGGGAATCCACCTGCCTCTGTCCCCAGTGCTGGAATTAGGAGTACTCATCACCTTGCCCAGCTATTTTATCTGGGTTTTAAGGGATCAAACTCAAATCTTTGTATCTGTGTGGCAAGCACTTTACCAAGTGAGACATTTTTAAATCTGTGCTATGTTTTGCTTTGGGGGGGTAAGATATTTTGCTTTATTTTCGATTGAATATATGGAGGGGGTAATGTACATGAAGGTGAAGGTGCCAGCAGAGGTGAGAGGTGTTAGTACCCCTGGAGCTAGAGCTCTAGACAGTGTGAGCCACCTGATGAGGGTGCTGGGAATTGAACTCAGTTTCTCTGGAAGAGCAGCAAGTGTTCTTAACCACTGAGCCATCTCTCCAATGCTTGCTTTGTTCTGTTTTTGAAACATTTTGCTAAATTTGGCCCTAAATTTGCCCTCCTTCTGCCTTAGTGTCCTATGAGCTGTGATTACAGGTGTGCACCACTATGCCTGACTTGTTTTATGTTTACTGAGCACCTCTGTGCCCTTAGTAGCCTGTGACCAGTCATTGGGGTGAACAGTGTCTACAGTATTGATCTTGCACACTCAAGAGTGCTTAGGATGTGCAAGGAAGACAGTGTTAGCCAGATCCTGAAATGATGGGTGATATGGTGAACCCAGACTTGCAAACCTGGTCCCAGGCTTCAGCCTCTAGAATGGACAGCAAATTCCTATTGCCTACACCCCAGCTCCATAAAAGTCAGGAGTTATGAGTAGCCAAATGTCTGGGTCAGCAAAAATGGTGACAGTAAAAGACTTCTGAAGATACAATGAGCGGAAAATCAAATTTAAACACATCAGGATGTAGAGTACTTTTGGCCTCTGTTACCCATGTTGTGTCCCATGTGACTCCACCGAGGCCTTGGCTCTGAACACACATGTATTCATTGGACAGTGGGTGCCCTTACACCATACCACACCAGTAACTATGCCTAAAACATTTCAGCTCAGATTCCAGACCATCATATGCTGTGAACTGCTCTTAAGAAACATGGTAGTTTTAATTTCAGAAAACAAAGACTTTCTGTGTTTTTCTACATTTTTCAACATGAAGTATCCAAATGGGATACCTTTTGAAAATTCTACCTTAAAATATTTGACTTTTAAAATTGCTCTGTGACTTAAATGTCTTTAAATTTTTTTAAATTTTGATTTGAGATTAAGACAATTTTCAACAATTTCTGAAATGGCCCCGAACACACTTTTGCTATTGTATGCTATTTGTGCAAAGTGGCATTATCAGCATGGTTTATAAATAAATCAAAATTTCAACTCTGAAAGATGCTGAAGATCCTCTGTGTTCTGTAGGAGCAAATATTCAGCCCAGGTTTAATCTATATGTAAAAAAACGAACAAGTATCCATATCTTTAGTATGCAAAACCGCTCTGATATGTAATAGCAAATTTAAAAAAATACTAAAAATGGTATATAACAAAATAATTATTTTAAATATTTTCTTTATTGTTTGTTAACAATAAATGTCTAATTTGTGAACTTTATACATGTATGTGTATGCACACATATTTATCTATCTATCTTCTGTCTATCTACCTATCTATGTATACTTGAACTTGTGGAAAAAATATCTCTGGTAGTCAAGTGTAGAGGCACATGCTTTTGATCGGAAAGCAGGAGGCAGGTGGATTTGTGAGTTTTAAGACCAACTTGGTCTACAAGGCAAGTTCTAAGACAGAGCTACACAGTGAAATCTTGTCTGTAAATAAATAAAATCTCAGAAAAATGGTCACAAGCATAAACATTTTAAAAAGTCCTGGTCTAGACCACCCTGTACTTAATTCCTTATCACCAGAGTCCTGATGAACAAATACAGTAAACAACTAAACCTACACTAAGAACACATAGTTGTTCCTGTTCCAAATTTGTCAATGATGCCCGCCTTTGATGTACCCGAGTTAAACAGTTTGATAGTGCCACTCTTTTCCCTTGAGTCTTATATCCTAGGGTCACCACCTTGTTCCCGAAGTTTACTATTCATGTTATAGATATTTCTGGATTTCTCTCTCTTTTTTTTTTAGAAAGTAATTTTAAAATAACATGTCCTCTGAGGTCACCAATTTTATCTCTCCTGTGTTGCACTTGTTCCCTCAGCTCTGTCTGTTGAACAAATTATGCCTCTGCTGGCTTCTCCAGTCCCATGGTAAGCCATCCCTGTGTGCTCATGGCTTAGTATCCCTCCATCTCTGTGTGCTCATGTCTTGGTCTCCCATCATCCCTGTGTGCTCATAGCTTGGCATACCATCAGGTTCTGTTGGTCATCTGTCTTGACCTGTTGCCACGTGATTCTTAGCCTACTCTCTGCATGAGGGTGGAAGGGTGGGTCTCTATTCATTGCTTTCCTTTTTAAAACTTTTCAAAACTTTGATGACTTCGTGTAAATTTCAGATTCATTTTACAATTTAGGAAGAATTCCTTCCAGGAATCTTTGTAGAAAAAGATTCTCTGAGCAAAACATCTACCATCTTCATCAGATCAACTGTGCCTGCTGGCAAGGGTCCAACATGGCTGGGCTTGTTGACAATTGACATTCCCTCATAGAAGGAAGTGTGTGTGGGGTGTCATCCGATCCATGCTTGAGAATTCAGCTGGCCCTTCCAGGAATTTGTATCCAATTCTGTCCTAAATGCTTGACGGGGGTCTTGAGAGAATATATGGGAGGGGTAGTTAATTGAAAGGAGCTCCGTTTATGAAGCGATAGGAAGCCACCATCCACACTGGGTAAAGACTTCCCAGTGGAGAAGCTTTGGGGTCACCCAAACTTCTGTAAGTAAGCCAAATAAACTCACTGGTTCTCCAGACTGAACTTATGTTTGCCACTGGTACCTTGGGAGGATCTTCACTTCTCCCTCAGGGAGGAGTGCTTGCATTGCAACCAGACATTGAATTGCTTAGTGTGTAGAGTAAAGTGAGAGTTACTAAATCTTAATCATATTGTGATAAATAAATTGTTATGGCCCATTTTCTGTATTCTTGGAGCTCATGAGAGTTACAGATAAAAGGAAGCTGTTGGTCCCTCTCTCATCTGGTGGCTGGTGCTTGTCTGAGAGAGCCAGGAAGCTGCAGGCAGTCTGCTACATGACTGAGTTCACAATCAGAAAAGGGGGCAGATTCAAGCCCTAGGATACTCATTAGATAAGATTTTGTGTCCTGAACCAATAGGATAGGGAATTTGGGAAGGATTAGGGTATGCCAGAAGAATGTGACAAGGGTGCCAGTCTATGGGTAAAGAGGACAGGGTTTATTATGACGAGAGACTTTAAAACCATTCTCTCAGGCTGGAGAGTTGGCTCACTGGTTAAGATCACTTGCTGCTCTTGCAGATGACCTACCTGAGTTTGATTCTCAGGCCCCATGTTGAGGCCTCACAACAATCTGTAATACAGCTCCAGCTCCAATCCGAAACTCTTCTGTCTTTCTGCTCACTCTCTCGCACTCTATCTTTCTCTGTCTGTCTGTCTGTCTGTCTGTCTGTCTGTCTGTCTGTCTGTCTGTCTGTCTGTCTGTCTGTCTGTCTGTCTGTCTGTCTGTCTGTCTGTCTGTCTGTCTGTCTGTCTGTCTGTCTGTCTGTCTGTCTGTCTGTCTGTCTGTCTGTCTGTCTGTCTGTCTGTCTGTCTGTCTGTCTGTCTGTCACAAACAAACAAACAAGCAAAAACCCAGAAATAAAACCCAAACAAACCACCATCTCATGCCAAATCAGTTTGTCAGCCTTGGTAGTTTGAGTAAGCCTTGGCCCATTGGCTTGTATGTGTAAATGCTTAGTCACTAGGGAGTTCTGCTGCTTGAAAGAATTAGGAGAAATGTGTCACTGCAGGTAGGCTTGGAGGTCTCAAAAGCTCACACCGGGCCCAGCTTCTCTCTCTGCCTCTCTCTGCTGATTAGGATGTAGCTCTCACCACTGTGCCAAGTGCCATGCCTATCTAATTCCCAGCGTGATGAAAATGGACTAAGCCTCTGAAGCTGTAGGCAAGTCTCAATGAAATGCTTTCCTTTATAAGAGTTGCCTTGGTCACAGTGTCTTTTCACAGCAATAGAACAGTGATTAAGACACCAGCTATGCTATTTGGCTTGTTTCTCCATGCTAGTCCCTTTTTACAGAGCAATATATTAAAATAACCGCTCACTTTCACCAGTCTCTCTTATTTATTACAGAGTAAAGGTCATGTTTCCCAAAACATAGAAGGTTACACAGGAATGTCACATCTCCATATATTCAAGTTACTTTTTTGTCTGCTACCAAAGATGAATAGAAGTCAGGTTTTGAGTGTGTTGGGCAAGAACCCTGCCCCTGGGCCAATCCTCATGCCCAAAATAAACATTCTGTGCTCAAGAATTGGGCATTTTCAGTAAGAACACCTAGATTTGCTCACCTTATTTCAAGTTTATAGCTCTTAAGCCTCCTAAATGTTCCTTCAGACATAGGTCAGGTGGGGAGCCCTGGGGACTCTGTGTTATTTGATGGGACTTGGTTGCCACAGAGAGGAAGGGGATGGAGAAGATCAGGCAGGGAGGGTTCAGGTCTGGGCTCCAGTCCCCAAGACCCAAACCCCAGGCCCCAGGCCTCAGGCTCCAGGCCCCAGGCCTCAGGCTCCAGGCTCCAGGCTCCAGGCCCCAGGCCCCAGGCCCCAGGCTCCAGGCCCCAGGCTCCAGGCTCCAGGCTTCTAGGAGCTGCAGAGGGGCTTCCTGAGCTGCTGGCCATGGTGAGAAGGAGGAAGGGAGGCTGGGGCAGCAGAAGGTGAAGGGGCCCAGGTGGAAAGAAGCCTCAAACAGTGGCCTTATCTAGGCCCTATTTGGGGGACACTGGTCTGTGGAAAGGAAGAGAAAGGGTGAGATTAACATCTTCACTTGATTGCTTTCAAATCAGTCAGCCAAGAAAACAACTGCAATAGGAAAATGTCGAGTCCCCAAGACTGCCCTGCCTCCTGCCCTCGGGGCCCCATGATGGCCACACACTACATAGCCTGTGCTCTGGTACAGGCCCATCCATTCTCACATCTCAGCATGCTCTCTCTTCCAGGGAGCCTTGGGTTTCTCTTAGGACATGCTTCCTGACCTCTGCACATGCAAGGAGTCCCCTGCAGCCTCTGTTCCTGACAAATGGCTCCATCACAGCCTTGCCCGTCCTCTGCTGCTGTCTACTTAGGTATGTCTGAACCTGTCTTGTTCCACAGACATGGCTGTGTGTGTGCTGATTGATTAAATGATACCCTGAGTGGTGATGCAAAAGGAGACCCTGAGATCTGGATCACACCCAGGCCTCTTCCGGGTTGTGTCCTTCTCCCTTACTCTGGACTGTCTCTGAGCCACACCCACGGCATGGAGTCAGTAAGTGCCCTCATCACTGTATCTCAAGGTACCACATGAATGAAGCCTGGCAGGGGAAGCATCTAGCACAGTAGCACAGGTCTGGCCAGAAGAACAACATCATGAAGGCTGTTCTTGTGTTGCTATTGCATCATGTAGTGAGTGAGAAAGGGAGGCACTCCTTAAACAGCTGTGGAGCAGCTGGAAGGCAGCTCTTACCAGCTATGTTGAAGATGGGGGCCTTTTGAAGGTGGAATTTCTCCACAAACTCCAGGTATTTCCCCAGCCATGTAGGGTCCTCAAGCAGTCTTCTGGCTGAAATTAGACAGCTGGCAGTGAGGTTAAGCTCTCTAAGCTCTCAGTTTTCCTGTATAAAAAGGGGGGAGCAGAGCCCAGGTGGGGTACCAAGACCCTGACCATCAGCTACCTGACCCTGGGTCCCCTGGTGTATGTTGGGGTTGGTCAGATCACCGTGCCACCTCCCTGGTTACCTCCCAGACCCTGTACCTCCCTCTCCTAGTGATCACAACAGTCCCTTCACTGTCTTCTCAAAGCATGTCTGGGCAGCCAATGTGACCCAATTGGTGGAGCAAACGCCCAGTATGCAGAAGCCATGAGTTCTATTCCCAACACAAAAAAAAAGGAAAAGGGGAAGGGGACAGGTCTGATTCTAACAGTCTAATGCCTCCCTGGTAAACAAGTGAGGCCTGCATCCTCCATGTGAAGACCCTCAAGAGCCCAACCTCACACCTGCGCTCACACCTGTGTCCCCCTGCCCCCCTCCCCAACCGACCCCTGATCCTTCTCGGAGCTCAAGGCTCTTGGCTATTTTCAGTGTCACCCAGGACCCTGGATATGGCCAACCCCACCTACTTCCAGTCTTCAAGATGCAAGAGCTACTTGACACCCCCTCATAAACCCCTCAGGCCCTTCTCCCTGATACTTTCCTTTTGGAGAACCTGAAAGGACTCAGTCACTACTAATTCCAGGACAGCACCAGACTGCAGCAGACGCTTGATGCTTATTGACAGAGTAAGAGTGAGTGGGTAACCGAATACGCGAATGAGTGTGTGAGAGAGCGCATGGTACCTGTATGGCGAGAGGCCTGGCTATAGCTTTGAGCTGCCCACACCCCAGAGCAGCCATCACGAGACTCCCCTTCCTGACAGAAAGTCTCTGGTCAGACAAAGGAGTGACTAGCACCTACCCACAAGACCTAGACACAGCAGCCAGGGCTGGGGAGAGCCATCACCTACCCAGAAGTGCCCACAGGTTGACGACTTCGTTGTCCTCAAAACGTACATAAAGAATAAGGTTGTTGTAGTCGGTGCTGACGAAATGGACGTGCATGCTGCCACCCTCAACTGTGGAGAACCGCGTGTGACACATAATTCTCCTGCCCTTTATTCCCAGGATGCCACTTCCCCCCAGAGAACACCACACTACTGAGAAGATGTGTGGCCTGCCCAAAGCTGGTGGCTCCTTCAGGTGTTGGGCTTTGTGAAGGCTATCTGGACTCCCCCGTTGGACCTCCCTTTCAGCATAGCACTCAGGTTCCCCATGAAGTACTCACAGGTTCCTTGGTACTGGCCTTGGAGCCCCGTTGGATGGACAGTAATGTTTATTCCTGTGCATACCCCCTCTCCTCTAGAAAAGAGAGGAATTTCTATGTATTTCTGCTTCAGAGGGTGGTTGGCTCAGGGCATAGAGAAACACGGGAGGTGACCCTGGCTGAGAGTCCTGAAGTCCTCCTGGTTCTCAACTGCCACTGTCTGGGAGCAGCCTTCATTGCAGTTAGACAGATGGAGAGAGAGGGTGGTGGCCACAGGTGCTGGTCACTGGAAGTAGGGAAAGGGGTCCTGCTCATAGTGGATGGATGATGGTCCTGTTCACACGAAATTAAACCTCCCTGAGAGGTTGAGGCCAGACTCCTCTGTGGGATCACAGCCCTGACTTGTTTGTCTCTGATTGTTTCTGTGCTATACAGACAAAGCTCATGTTTCACGGGGCCCAGCTTGGTCTTGGACTCATTGGAGAGCTAAGGGTGGCCTTAAACTTCTGGTCATCCTGCTTCTACTTCACAAATGCTGGGATTGAAGATATGTACCACTAAGCTCAGGTAGTTTGCCACTTTTTTTTTTTGGTTTTTTTTTGGGGGGGGGGTTTCGAGACAGGGTTTCTCTATGGCTTTGGAGGCTGTCCTGGAACTAGCTCTTGTAGACCAGGCTGGTCTCGAACTCACAGAGATCCGCCAGCCTCCCGAGTGCTGGGATTAAAGGCATGTGCCACCACCACCTGGCCTCGCCACTTTTAAATAACAAGATTGCACATTAAAGAGCCAGACTAGGGATTCCCCCCAAGGCCAGAGGCCAGACCACATGGACGGTCTTTATCTCGGAGGGCATGTCAGCAGGCCTGGCAGCTGACTGTGTGCCTTTTCTGCCAGCTCTTTTTCTTGAGCCTGGGGGCATGCCTGTTGCAAGCCACAGCCTTTAGCCTGGCACAGTATCATGGTCCCTCTGGCCACCCATGCTAACTCCCCAGGGCTCTGGGCAAAAGATAAGAGTTATCACAAGCACTCACTTCTCAAACAGCACAAAGTCCACATCCCCACTGTCTCTGGTCCGGATGGAGTGGAGTGAAAGTCTTAGGGGGTCAGTGGGCAAGACCAGGTCCCTGTGGCTAGTGGCCAGCTGGATGGTAAACCAACGTCCTTCTACCTGTGGGGGTGTGGGCATGGGGACCAGAGAGATGGCTAGTTCTGAGCTTCCGGTCTCAATGTACAGATAATAAAACTGTAAGCCTGGTCAGTAAATGGGCACATGTGTCCAGCATGTACACTGGCCAACCCCACCCCCCAATATCAGTGAACTTCTAGGGATCCCTGGTCAAAGTATAAGCTGTGATTTCCCACTTATAAATATTTGTCTCCATTCTCTTCTAGCTTTCCTCCCCTCTCTGCCTCCTTCCTCAGTGTGCCTCATTTTCCTCAGTGCCCCCTGCATCCCTCCTATCTCTGTTCCCCAGACTCATCATGCCTTAGAACTGCTGCCACTAACCCTCCCAGCCTGGTACTATCCACAGTTCCCATATCTGATTCTGGGCACCAAGAATCCAGAGATGGACAGGCAGAGGCAGACAGGTGCCCAAGACACACTTTGTGCTACATGTCACCCTATGGGGACCTGCCATCCCAGCTCTGGCTTTGCTTCCACAGCCAAGGCTCTACAGACTCCAAGTCTGTGCTTGGACCATCAGCTTCAATTACCAGAGTTGATTAATGGTCCTTGGGTCTACCATGAGTTCCTGGAAAGCTGGGCTAACTAAGCACACCCACAGTGCGATACTGGACCCAGTCCTTATCCCAGCACTGAATTTGGGCCTGGCCATGACACTCACCTCATGTGCTTCAAAGTCTGGCTGCACTGGCACCTCTCTCAGAGTCTTCTGGGCTAGGTCTATGTTAAAGGCCAACAACAGCAGCCAGCCCCTTGCCAGGGTCATGACACCTGGGGCCAAGAGCTGCAGGTCCCAGCAGCTCCCTGTCTCTGAGAGCATCCTAAGGAGCTTCTAAGCAGCTGCTGGCTCACCTTGTGTCCTCCCAGCCCTGCGCATTCCAGTCTTCCCTAGGACTGAAGCAAGCGGGGTGCCACTCAAGTCAGTGAGGCAAAAACATGGTGAGCCTGTTGGGGCAGCTTAAGCACGTTGCAAGGCTGTCCTAGGAGTCCAGGGAGAGGCTGGTGGTTAAAAGAAGACCATAGGTATGCCTGCTCCTCCCTCAAGGGTAGTCCCTTGTCCCCAGGTCTGCCATCTTCCTGGCGTGTCCATCCACCGGCCACTGGAGCAGTAGTGGAAGGAGTTTCCTACAACCTTGCTCACCTCACACTCATAGTTCCTTCCCTGGGTGTGAAGGGAGCACAGGTACATAGATAGTCTCTCTGGACAGCACTTGAGGAATGTGAGTGCCCCACCAGTGTGGGCTGTTACTATACCTGTTTATTTTGAATGCCTCTCACCAACCCTCTCTTGCAGCCTCATGGCCACTCTGCCCCATGGATCCTGGACAGCAAGGGGTAGCCACTTTCCTAGTGTCTTCCTTTGCTTTAGAGTCAGACTCCAGGCTTGTCACTCCTTCTTAATGCCACATTCGCTAGCTCATGCCAAATGTGACACCTTCCTTTATACTGACTTCTTCTCTGGCCTTTTTTCTAGGCCTTGATCTCTTTTGTTCTGCAGGGACCTGGCTCAGGGAAACTCTAGGGAACTGCACAAAGGGGCCAGCTCCATCTTTGGGTTTGTTGCAGGAATAGCTTGTCACTGAATTACCAGAGGTCCTGCTTCCCACTAGGGTTGAGTTAGCTGACCTTAGCTAGGCATTTGCCTGCTCCTTCACTTCATGGTTAAGTTGACTTACAGCCATTGACTTCTAAGGCAGGAAACAGTCATTTGTCTGGGGAGGTCAGAAGAGCAAGGGAGGACCTGGCCTAACCTGCAAGATCTTTCTGTCTATGCATAGCTCCCTTGGGTGAGGTCCTAGCCTCCACTCCTGCCCAGAGATAGAATGACTCATGCTTTGAGAAACCTCATGATGTGTCCTTCATGTCTTAGATGGCAGAAAATCCCTGCCCATGGCTGACCTGGCCTTGACTATTCCTATAATAATAGCTTATTATAGGTTCTGGGAAGGGAGGGTGGGCAAGGACTCTAGGAAGGTGGCAATGCTGCCTCCTCTCACTCTTTGGACCACTCATGTTTCCCTTCTCAGACATACAGAGATGCGTCCTCTCCAGATCTGGTCTAGATAGCTGTCTCGGGAATCCAGAATTCCCTGGGGGCCCCTAGAGCCCAGCTGCTACCCTGGGCATAAGATTTCTACCTGGGGATACTGTCCTTACCCCACCTTATTGGAAGCTAAGTGGACACCACCCCTCCCTATGGGAAGTCCCTGTGGCCTTTGGGTACAGATAAGAAGGCAACCAGAGGAGCAGATGCTGAGTTTATTCATTACATGGAGAAGGGTGAGTCGGAGTTGACAGATGGTCAGGAGTTGATGATCAAAACCACCAAGAGTTGGAAGCCATGGACAACATTGACTCTTGGGTTACATAGGCCTGGACCTGGGGAAGGCAGATGTCCTGTGGTTGATCTCAGGAACCGTTACAATCTAGGGAAACACAAGACTCCAGATCAGTGTCTGGAAGTTTCTCTCCCAGGGACCAGGCTCCTCCCTCCATCACCCTGCAGTCCTTATCTCCTGGGCCTTGCATACCCAGGAGAGTAACATAGTTGAACAAGATTCCATAAGGGCTATATTCCCTGAAGTTCACCAAGTCCTGAACCTGTGTCCCCACCTTGGGGTATCATTCCTAAGACAATGGTTTAAAGGGACGTATGGGTTCTCTCCACACTTTGTATTGCTATAGAGGACATGGTTAATAGGGCTCCCTCTGCTTTCTTGGGGATGTGAAGAAGCAGCCTGGGAATCCAGGAGACATAATTGAGAAGAAAGCCCTCAGTTTTCTCTCCTGGAGGCCCCTGGGAAGGGGAGTGCTGCTTAGCCCAGCAGAGCCATGAAAGGGTATGTGTAGAGCATGGGTTCTGAGAAAAGCACAGGTGAATATGACTGGTACAGAAATGACTGGGAATATAACATGTGCACACACAAAGGATTGTGCAGAAGTATGCATGCATGCACACACACACAAGTTGTGTGCCGGGATACTTGCTCATGCACCCCAGAACCCTGTAGAGAGGCTGAGTCTTCCTGGGCCCACCTGAAGTTCTGATTCAGGCAGGGCCCTGGGTGCAGAATCCTTCACAAGCCCTGGCTGCTATACTCTGGGGTTATACTTTTCAGGATGTTCCCTGGAAAAGTCTATCTGCCAGTATATGGATGATGAAGACTGGAAGGAGTCTAGTCACCCACTGACTTCAGGAGCTACTTCTTGTTGCGGACCAAAGAGGAAGCAAAGGTCGGAGTTCAATACATGAGTCCCCTTCTCCCTCCAGTACCCCCTCTTCAGATCAGCCCCAGCTCTGCTAAGCCCTACACAGACCTCTCATCCTGCCGTCCCCTTAACACTGTGGCCTATGGCATAGACTTCTAAAGGAGTCACAGTCATCACGGCCACTGTGCCTGGGGTCCCACAGAGAAGAAGCTGTAGGAAAGTAGGCTTACGATTCAAGGACACGTCCATAATGTTGTCTGGTACAATGCCTCTTCTGGATGTGTGTGACTTATAGGGCTCCAACCCAAGTTTACCTGCATACAGAGTCCTGCCTACAGCCAGAAAGATTGGAAGCATAGTTGAGCAAAGAGACCTGTGGTGGGTGGGTGGGGGGTACTTGGGGTAGGGAGAGCAGCTGAAGCTCCTAGTCTCCCCACCCTCCCCACCGGCCTCTCCAACTCAAGGTCCTGCCATTCCCTGCAGTCTTGAGGCTGTTGTGGGTGGGAATGGCACCCACCATGAAGCTCAACCACGATGAGGGTATTTCCTTCACTCTGGTTTTCCAAGTCCATGATGGTGAATTCCTCTGTGACAGCCACAAAAGTCAGATAGTTTTTGCCTTGGTCTATGACAAGAAACCAAATGTTCATGAAGCCTCTTGGGAGCCTTGTGTCTCCTGGTAGCCAGAGCCTTCCCAGCTGGCACAGCCTGACTCGACCTACACATGCTCTGCCCACAGTAGTCAGCAGAGCCCAGGACACAAAGTGACCAGGCAGCCAGTCTCCTGCCTCTGCTCCTCCATCAGTCTATCTCTTGCTGTGTCCCCCAACTCTCTTCCCCTGTGTCTTGATCTGGGTCTCTTCCTGGGCCAGAGTCGGGAAGGCATGTCCAATGAAGGGGAAGGGCTCAAGAGTCTCCCCTTCTGTCTTCTCCTGTTATCTGGACTCCTGCTCCCCACCCCATACTGCCTTGTGTTCCTTTAGCCTCAGCAACATCTGTTCCCAAGGGACACCCTTACACAGTACTCCGGAGCCGCTGCTGGGTGAGGGCTCCTGAGTCCCTCCTCCCTCCCAGCCTCCCTTACACTCCTTGAAGATGGGTCAGCTCTGTGCTGAGTTCATAGGGAGGGGTTTCAGGACAAATGTGGGGAGCCCTGAGAACCCAAGAGAACAGTTTGGGACCAGTCTTCTTGGATTTTTGAAGACATAGCTGCTAGGTCTATATGGTTGCCACCCCCATCCTTCCTGACCAGTCACTTTTGCACTCCAGCAGCTCATCAATCCCCCCGCCCTCCCCCTGCAACATCATGCTACCCAGGGAGGGAGCAGCAGCTACTTTCACTCACAGTCAAAGGTGTAGCGTCCAGGGATTCCAGTCTTCTCTGCTACATAGAATTCCTTCACACACTTTCCATCTTGTCTAAGAGGAAAATAGCCTTCCTGAGCCATGCCTGAGGGGCTGGGTCCTATTAGGTCACCTGGCTCACCCAGAGGGAGCTCTGGATACTACCCAGCCTCCAGGGAGAAGCCCCGAGGATCAGTGTCATCAGGGCCCACTCTGGACTTGAGCCCTGAAGAGCTGGGGATCTGGGAGATGGTAGGAGGTGGCCCTGCAGAATCTGATTAGAGGTCTGAGCATGCCATATTACCTGTGCAAGTAGGTGACATTCAGGTTGCCATTGTCCAGGAGGGCAATGCCAGTCATGAAGCACTGGTAAGCACCTCCTTCCTCAATGACAGACCGGTCAGTGGAAGCCAGATTGAGGGTGCTCCAGTGCCCTGTCACCTGCAGAGTAAGGTTCTATCCTGACCACAGAGTCCTGGGGAGCCATCTCCCTGGATAGTGGATACAGCAGGGAGGAGCCAGGCATGTCCTGCAAAGGTATAGAGTATGGGCCTCACCTCTCTTACTGTGTATTGAGAAGGAGCCTTGGGGACTACTGACTCTTCTCCACCCCCACCCCAACCAAACAGGCCAGCACAGTATATCCACTAGCAATTGGACAATGCTGGTAGAATTTGGTGATTCTATTCTCCAGATCCCTGAAGAGGGATGGTGTCCTCTACCAAATGAGGGCCTCAGGGTCTCTGTGCAATATGACACAAAGTAGAGGGCTTGGTTGCCCCATCTCTCCTATTTGGTCTCTAGGTTCAGGCTCCCCCTGGGGCCTGGCCAACTGCAGTAGGGCTTTCAAGTGGCTCACACTCTAGGGGACCTGGCAGAGTGTCCCCTGAGCTCCTGTCCTCAAGTAGAATGCCACTCCTTTGGTGCCTATTGCTGTGAGCTGCTGTCAAGACACCATAAGGTGATAGAGACCTGGAAAATGCTTCGATGTATGGGGCAGCCCCCTGCCCTGTTCAGAGACCCTGAGCATCACCTGCTCAGGGCTGAAGTCCTGCTGCACGGGAACCCGGCTTTGGTCCTGCAGGGCCCAGGCCAGGCTCAGCCCCACAGTCAACAGCAGTAGATGCTTCATTCCTCTGCTGTGTCTTCTTGGGATGAGTGTTCAGGATGTGGGTGCTCAGAGGCCCCAGCAGGTTGCATATATACTGTGTGGAGGCAGGAAGTCCTTCTACCCCTATCTGACCCACAGGAGCAAACAAGTTTAGAAGAGCATGGAGTTCAGGGGAGGATGCTGTCAGCCCTGGGGCTACAAGATGCTTCCATTGAAAGGTCAGGGTGCAGGCCAGGACTGGGACACTATGTGGCTTGGCTTCTAGACTGAGATGCCTTTGTGAGTAGGCCTGGACACCTTAGATGTGGTACCTCATTGGCCTGGAGAGATAGCCAAGGGCCACGCCCTCAAGTCTCAGCAGGTGACATCTGGGCAGGGTGTATGTGTTCTAGAGAGAAGCCATGCTTCACTGGACTCTTGAGGCCAGTACCCTAGAACTGAGCCACCATGGGGCATGAGGCCTGTGCTTTTGCCTCTAACTTCAGTGACTTATTATTGCCTTGGGATCCTATGTGGATGTTGGCCCCTGAGGAAGTTGGGCCAGGTCACTCGGTGACATGGTTGTGGAACAGTCAAATCTGGCTATGCCATGTGTTTAGAAAAGGGTTATTCTTCATGGCGGGCCTACTGCCAACTTCAAGCTATAGCCTTCCTTCTTTGCAAGATGTTCCAGGTTCTGGGAGGTACCATGGGGTACAGAAACCAGGGGTCCAGACATAAATAGTGCTGAGCCATGGGGAGGACACCCTCAGGGTACACTCTGTGCTCTTTCCATGTGCCCATGGAAGCCCCATGTAACAGAGGCGTCCCTGCTTTCTCAGCCCCAGCTCCAGTGTTAGACTGGAAGCCAAACTATTCAGTCAGTGAGACTAAAAGGATTATGGTTCTGAAGGTCAGCACCATAACTGATCACACATGGGGAAGGGCTCAAGGCCATTCACTTGGGGATTGGCAAGGAGATCTGAGTTCCTAGTCTCTAGGTCACAGGCCTTTCCCCTTCTTTGATGGCAGAAAGGCCAAGGTAGTTCAGGGGCACTCCAGGGGTTTCAATGGAAGGCCCACTGTGCTCCAGGATGAAACCTGGGGGCTCCAGCTTGGTTGTTGCTCTGACTTAGGTTTTCTGTCGTTCAGCTGCAGCTGCTCAGATGGGGGGGGTGGTCTCTCTGTGTGTGTATGCACATGCATGTGTACATATACACAAGTTCAGGGTTGTATGTATCATGAGTGAGTATATATGTATGCAATATATATATATATATGCAGTATGATTGTGAGCCTACAACCCCATGCACTTTACCTGTAAGTGTGCTTGAATGTGAATGTAAGCGTGTGCATGTGTACACACATGTACACATGCCAGCACTTTTCTGCTTGATACATGTTCACATACATGCAATTGCCTCTGTCAGGAAATTCACAATTCTTGAAATGTGGAAATCCCCACAATAACCTCGGGACACCCCAGACTTGTTCTCTGATATGGCCTCTCTAGTATCCACCAAAGTATGCTGGGGGCCTGGCAGAGCTGAGCACAGCCTGGGGCCAGTGTTGACTCTAGGAATATAGTGGAAATCTCTGGGTTGAACCCACTGAGACAGGATCCAGCGAAAGAGGAAAGGGGTAGGATGAAACTGTAATATTATGAAGGACCTAGGTGAAGAGAGCTGTCACTCTTCAAACCCTGGACACCAATGAGAAGCTTCCAGGCAGGGGTGCTGCGGGAGGGACCATGTTCACACAATTGTTGAATGCAGGACACAGAAGTTCCTCCATGAAGTTCCTTTATGGGCAGTGTTCATCACAGACTTGGTGTCAGCACCATCTGGCCCTGGACACAGGAGAGTCACCTGTAAGATGGCAGCCAGTGAGGTCCATGAAGCCTTCAGAAACTTATAGCTCTTCTGGGGGTTCCCACACAGCCTCACTTGACAGGATCCAGGGCTATATTCACCTCCTGTGTCTGAGTGAGGTGAGATGAGGTGAAGGGGTCATAGGAGCAGTGTCCTAGGGAATGGGCCAGCATGGGCAAGGCTCCAGGTCCAGCATGCACTGCCAGGTGGGTCCCCAAGGTGTGAAGTGAAGCTTGGAGAAGGTGCACGTCCCTCTGTAAGATCACAGAGTCAGGCTGGGTCAGGTCCTTGTGTCTATTTGTCCAAGACAGTGAGAAGCTCTGGGCCTGCTCAGACCACACCCTGAGCCGCTTCTTTCCTGTGGCTACCGGGAGCTGTCCAGGTACATGTCCCAGCCACAGGTTACCATGTGCCCTCTTCTCCTGTGTCTGATCATGGAGTCACATTCAAATCCCACCATCAAGAAGCCTGAAAGACCAGATCATGGGAGTGCCTGTGGGATAACTAATCCTCAATGGGCCTGACGGCTGGGCTGGACCCATGGTAAGTGCATGCTTGGTAGATGTCTCCTGACAGCTGGCCTAGACCCATAGTAAGAGCATGCACAGTAGATATTTCCTGCCAGCCAGCCTGGGTCTGCCAGAGGGCCTTGACAACAGCAGCCGAGTCTGATGAGATGACGTGGACCTATGGACAGTGACCACACACTTCAGTAGATGCCTGCTCAGTGGATCTCCTTCCAGGGGGCAGGGTTGGGGAGTATATAAGGCCAACCCCTTCCTGGAATAAACTGAGCTTGTTGTTTTAACTTATTCCTGATACCTGTGTCACTGGTGCCCTGTCTACTTTTCCTCACTCCCAAGGGACACCTGTCAGGACCCTGCAACAAGTGCCCTTACCTTGGGCCTAGCCCACAGGGTACCATCAGAAACCTCTCCCATGGCCAGGGGTGGTCCCTGACTCTTAGATGGAGTTCCCATTCTTGTAGATCAGAAGCTTCCTGTGTCTGACGGTTCTAGGATTGGACACTTGTACTAAGGCAGGTATGGTAGACAGGCAGCTGCAGAGCTCTGACGACACCTGCTGTGGCTGGTTCTTAGCCTCTTAACTGTGAGCTGGCTTCTGATGTGTCATTCACTGTGCTTACCTTAGTGACTTAGTAGACCCAGGGACTTCAGGCTTAGTGATGGCCAAGAGAGTCTGGGAGACATCTGGCTTAGTTCCTGGGGTTCACAGGGATCACTTGCTGGGTGCCTTTGAACAACATTTTAGGCCTTGGAAAGGTGTATGTGTCCCTGCCCATGGCATTCTGGGTCTGGCTTAAGTCCTATTGTTGAGTCATATCTTCCATAGTTCCCTAAATGCAGATTGCCTATGGGCTATTATGAAGCCTGAATCAGTTTTTCATATAAGAGGACTCAGCCTTTCTCTGCCAAATGGCCATCTGAGGAAATGGGGACTGGCTTAGAGGCTGTAGTGTTAGAATCTAGCTGCTATTCAGACCACGATACCTTGCAGCAGCCTGTCCTCTTTCAAGATACCAACAGGCACCCTCCAAAGACATTATTTGTGAGTATTGCTATCAGAGATCCTAGAGACAGAATCTCTCACTGCAGGATTGGTGGCCACACATCCTGGTCCCCATCCTGTTTCTTGTCACTTTAGAGCCCACTGTAGGTATCTGCTGCTGAGTCAGCTGGAGGAGGCCATGGGGGACACCGTAGTTCAGAACAAATGACCCAGATTCTGATACCTGTTGGCCGATACCATGTCTGACTCACTTGAGAGCCCTAGGCCTCCCTTCCTTACATGGCTAGGCTTATAAGGTATGAAGTAGTAAGAAGGCTCCAGTGTTTTCCCAGTGCCAGCACCTCAGCTTCAGGTGCAAAGTGGTGACACTTCTCTTGCCCTCATTGCCACTACCCTCTGTTGGTTGGGTCTGCTAAGTGAGCATGCCCAGAATCTGCCTCAAGGGGCTGTGCCTACCTCTGAAAAAGGGCCCAGGGGAATACACAAGTCCCTCCCAGTGGTGGAGTTAGGGGGTAGGGCACAGGGCAAGGGCACTTCACAGAGTGGCTTATCACAAAGCTGGAGGGGAGGGGTGTATTCATACTGAAGAGTGGGTCACAGCCAGTGGCTATACACCACTTTCCCAAAACCTTAGGAAGAAATGACTGTAATTAGTACTCCAGACAGGAGAAAGGAAGAAAGAAACACAGGAAAGAAGGGGAAGAGGATGAAGCTGGGTAGAGGTGTGACAGAATTGGCTAATACCCAAGCAGCCACGTGATCATAGCTAAGAAAACAGACTGGGGGTCGTAGATGAGCTATGGGGAGAGATTATGAGTGATGTGTGAGAAAGGGGCTGTGAGGAAAACAGATTCTGAAAGGATTTTGTTTTAAATCCAAAGACAGATGTAGCAAGATGTCCCTAGCCTTGACACTTTCTCCCACGATCAACAGAGGAGGTCAGCATTGATGAGGAATGCCTGTGAAATTGTTTCTTTTTTAACAAGGGTGGACGTGGCCCTATTATATTAATCAGCATTGGACATTTATTGAGCCTGAAACAGGAAAAGGGGGAAGAAAACTACAAAGACAGCAGGGAGAAAACAGGCGGAGTTCACAATGATGGGCCTGAAGAGTAACTGTGTGTTAAGTGCCCATGTTTGTCTGACCAGTATGGTCACCTGTCCACCCATCTACCTGTTGGCCTATCCATCCATTCACCTGTCCACCTAACTATCCATCCGCTTGTCTCCCCTATACCAACTCTCCTTCCTAACCGTTCATTCGCCACCAACTATCCTCCACTGATCACTCTCGCATTCACCAATCCCCCACTCACCCTCACCCCCACCCACCCATCCGCCCACTAAATGACTGAGAAACATGGGATGGAGATTATTATGACTCTGTGGTCACAAGAGCATTTTCTCTAATGACATTGAGACTCTGGTGTTTTTACCCATTACTGTTTACAGAGGGGCTTAAAATAGCATAGCTCCTTCCAAACAATGGCTTAATTGCAATCTCTGAGGGTCTTAGAAAGATTATGTAACTTGCTGTAAAGTTACCACAAATGTGGCTTTGGGGGACCCTAGTCAGAGTTGATGGAAATCTGCACCGTGTCTTCCTAAGACTCCACACACTGGGCCTAGACACCACGTGGACCTCCTTCTCTACCAGGCAGAAGTCTGTAAAACACAAGAGAGGAGCTGGGCTGCCCTCCACCCCCACCTCTGGTCAGGAGCACTGAGTTCAGACCAGGGACTGACCCCAGCACAGACCACTTTGGATTCTCACCTCTTGGGTGACCTGGTCATGTGTTGCTCTTTGTCCTGCTGGCCCTCCTTACTTGTGCTGCATAGAAACAGAGCCTCAGCACTGAGCCCACACATGGTCTTCACAGCTGCTCTACCCTTCTGAGTCTGTTTAACCCATGAGGGAGGCCTTGGGGCAGCATCCTACCCTCCCTAACCCACACAGAGCTCTAGCCATCTGCACTGGTGACCTGACCATACTGTTTTGCTTGGACCTCATGATTAGACAGAGGTAACCTGTAGAATTCTTGTCAGAGGGAGACCGCTATCAGTGTGGGGAGTGCTGCCTCAGGATCTGGAGCCAAGAGCCGCTGTGCTCCTGCCCACGACCCACCCAGGTCTTGCTCCCACAAGAAACAGAACTCCTGACCAGCCCATCCTCCCAGACCCTCCAACTCCAGGCAGTGTTCAGGCCCTTTCTAGATTCTTACCTTGATTACCAGGCAGCATTCCACATCTATCCACACATGTGGCCATGTGAGTGTGTGTGTGCCTATATGTTCACATCTATGCATCAGTATGCTCACATGTGTCTGTATGCACATGTCTGTCTTCCCATTTGTCTATGTGTGCCTCCATATGTGAACATGTGTCTGTAATCCGTCGGTAATGTCAGTTTTCTGAAAATTGACATAAAGCTGCTGTCTCAAAACAACAGGTTGAGTCGGGCAGTGGTAGTGCATGCCTTTAATTCCAGCACACAGGAAGCAGAGGCATGTGGATCTCTGTGAGTTCAAGGCCAGCCTGGTCTAGAGAGTGAGTGCCAGGATAGAGAAACCCTGTCTCAAAAAAACAAAAAAAAGACAGAAAGAAAGAAAGAAAGAAAGAAAGAAAGAAAGAAAGAAAACAGGTTGATTGTCCAACCCTGCCAATGGGGGACATTGAGCACGCTCTCCTCAGGGAAGCAGCGTGACTCTATGAACCCTAGCAGTTTGTATTAGAAGCCTGCTGTGCTGTGCTGTGCAGATGCCTTGGGATGCTGGTCATCCCCATCAGTGACAATGTACCTGGGGCTGGGGAAGTTTGAGCAGGAAGGTACAAAGATTACAGAAAAATGCTTGGGTTCACATACCCTCATACAAGAGAGATGGGGGGGGAGAGAGAGAAGAGAGGGAGGAGAGAGACAGAGAAGAGGAGAGGGGAGGGGAGGAGAGGAGAGGAGTGGAGAGGGAGAAGAGAGAGGAGAAGAGAGACAGACAGATAGACAGACAGACAGAGACAGAGACAGAGACTTGGGCCTTAGCAGGCCCCTTATGATGCTCAGTGCAATGATCTAAGAAATAGAGTTGTGACATCAGAATGGTCTAGCAAGGCCACTCCGGGAGCTGGGCCCTTCTCCACAGCAGCTCCTATGTTTGTCAAGCCTGCAGAGTGAGGCCACAACACTGTCCCTACCCACTGAAACCAATTCTCAATGCCCTACTGTCTGTCCTGCTGGGCTTGGGAACCTAGTCCCAGGACTGTGCCCTGGTGTCATTCCTACCTCGGTCCCCAGGTGGTCCTCACCTTTGGCTTGGAGCCACACCTTGTCATTGTCATGGGCTTCTTACTCATCACATTCACTGCCCAAAACCTGGGCTTTGGGGTGATGTGCCTACAGAAGGATCCAGGGGACCCCGGAACAGTCTTGAACTTCCATGCCTACACCAAACAAGGCTGGGTGCTTCCTTGTCTCCTACCCACTTCTCACCCATCCTCCTTTAAACAGATCACCAAGGGGGAACAAATATATCCACCCAAGGGGCCACACACAGAGGCAGAGTCACCATGGACTGCTGAAATTCTTTATTGAGTAGCAGGGGAGGAGGAGGGGGAAAGAATGGGGAAGAGAGAAGTCAGGTGGCCCAGCAGGACACTCTTTCCATGTCCTGCAGACAGAGGTTCTGGCGGTACCACCTTGGGCTGCTGTGGAGCCTTGGTCCACCATGCTCTAGAAAGGAGAGAACGTCTATGAGGCAAGGAGGGTAGAGCCAGTGAGGGGTTATGGTGGGGGAGGGATGGGGGGTGCCTTGGATCAGCATCACATGCTCTCAGAAATACAGGGCTAGCCTGTGCTAGATCAGGAATTCCATCCTTCTAACTTCCCTCAGAAAAGCTCTGTCAAGGCAGTGGTCACGGGGCCTAGGACTTTCTGCTCCACTATGGAAGTGCCTTCATGTCAGGCGGAGTAGGCTCATGGACACAGGGGAGGGGGTGTGCACACCAGCAGGTAGGAAATCCCCAGGAGACTAGAAAGAGGCTAAGATGGAGAAGGCGTTTGCTGGATGGGTGGCAACTGGGCAGCTTCATTGCCTACCGCAAATCACAGCACCAGCACATCCCACTGATGGGATGGGGACAAAGAGAAGCCCTTAATGACCTAGCAATGAAGCTAAAGAAACACAGGGTGTCGGGACACAGAAACTGGGTAATTCCTACTGCAACTGAGGGCTTCCGGGTGGTTCTCGAGGCCCTGTTGAATCCCAAGGCTCTTGTCAGCTTCAAGGGTCACTTACCTTAGTAACTCTCTGGTTCACATTTTTCTGTGAAGAAAAAAAAAAAAAAAGCAGAAAACCCAGAGATGAGAATGAGGCCTGGAACAAAAGGTCATCATATCCATGGCTCATGTCCTCCCATGACCAAGACCTGCAGCAGGGCCTGCAGTGTCCACATTGGGGACAGGGGACGTAAGAGTGACAGAGTTACAGGTGACACAGGAGATAGAGAGGGGAGCATTGTGTTCTCACCCATCTGCTCAGGTACGACCAGGTTCTCTGGTATAAGTCCCTTTTTCTGGGTGAACTCCTTAAATTCCTCCAAGGCCTCCAGGTTTTCTTTCAGGTCCCTCCCTGTGGAAGAGGGATGGGTGAGCAGAGGGAGGTGTCCCCACAGATCCAGTGCCACAGACAGGAGCACTGCCCAGCGCCATGGGCTTCACCATGGAGTAGCCAAGGGCAGAAGAGGAGGTGTGGACTGTTGACACTGAGCTTAGGGGGCATCTGAGTGACCAAATGACCCTGGAAATGAAAGCCTTCTGGTGGGGACCTGCAGCATCTTGAGCTTGACCTAAAAGGTTCCCGTGTCCCAGAGGCACTGAGCTTAGAAGGCTCCTGTCAGGACACCACTATCCTCACATCAACCATGCCTGACACACAAAAGCCCCACAAAGCAGAATTGGCAGCCTCTGTGGTCAAGACGCATAACTTCCTGTATCCTGGATGGTCCCTACTGGGCCTTTAAGTCACTACAGCAAAACTCAGCAAGGTGGGTTCAGTCAGCCAGCAGCATTGTGCCTGTCTATCACTATCCATGAGAGGGAATGCTGCTCCTTTCATATGTGAGGCCTGCTCCCAGGGAATTGACTGCTCTGAAGAAGAGGAACAGCGGGGGTAGGCATGGCTGTGTTAGGCTCCGGTATCTGGGAACTTACCTATGAGCTGTGTCACTGCAAAGCTCATGCCCTCCAGCTCCCCATCACAGTAGAGCATCCAGTGGTCCTTCACAGAAGACAGCTGCACCTGCATGTGGCTCTTACCTTCAACTGTGGAGGCCCCGGAAAGAACAAGGTTAATTCCACCCTGCAAACAGTCCCTTGGGTTCCTCTTCTGACTGCCACCCCAGCCTCCAGTCATAGAGGTTCCAGTCATCTAAGTGACTATCCTGGCCTGAGTGCGAAGAACTGGCATCCCTAGGACTCAACTGTGATGCCTCCTTAGGGGTGGGACTTGCCAGGAAGTGCTCCATTCCATGGGCTGCCAGTCACCCACCCCGGTGCTGATGACACTCACAGGCACTGTAATGGCCAGGCACATCTGTTTTCTCCAAGATGGTGGTCACTTCAAAACACTGGCCATACATCCTGGAATCAAAAACTATATGCAGTGGCCCTCTTGAACTCGACCCTCAGCTGGGTGGTGGTGGCGCAGGCCTTTAACCTCAGCACTTGGGAGGCAGAGGCAGGCAGATATCAGTGAGTTTGAGGCCAGCCTGGTCTACAAAGTGAGCTCCAGGACAGCCAGAGCTACACAGAGAAACCCTGCTTCAAAGAACAAAAACAAAAACAAAACAAAACAAAACAAACAAAAAAACTGACCCTCATGCTGACTGGGATCCACCCTCCTCACCCAGCTCCTGGAGTTCTTTCCAAGTCAGAGGGATTTTTTAACTACCCATTGAGAAGTGATGGGCCAGGTAAGAGACCAACCACCCATGGGAGCCACAGACACTCACATATGTGTCATAGAAAACTCCATGTCACCATTGTCCAGCACCAACACGAGTATGGAAGAGACCTTCTTTATCGGGATCTCGTCTTTCATCACCAAGGCCTTCATGAACCACTTTCCAGAAAACTAAAAGATGAATGTCCTCTTTGCTTGATGCCTGCCCACCTGCCCTGTGGAATATGTGCCTCCAACTACCACTCATGCCTGACTAACCTATCCCACCACCAAAACATAGAAAGCCCACATGATGGAGACCTGCTTACTCCTGGGGTACCAGCGCCTTCTAGCACATTTTCTCAGTCTCCACCCCTGAGCCCAGGGAGGCCTGAACACACACTGGGATTCCTTAACTCCAAATTGGTCTACTCTCTTTGATTACAACGTATGACAAGGGTCAAACTGGGATCCTCCCTGAATCCAGAACCCTAGTCACCCTGCATTAGTAAAGCTGAGACACCACCCTGTGCCCAGCTCTGACTCACATGCCTGCTATTCAAAGCAAGGGGCGAGGAGTCCTGGGCCTGCAGGGTGGCAACCAGGCAGAAGCTGATGGTCAGGAACAGAGTCTTCATCTCCAGGGTCTGCTTTCACAGCCACCAACAGGTCACTGGAGCTGGAGCGGCTGTCCCGGCCCCTCAATTGGCTGCCCTTTATACAGCCCCACACAGGGTCCTTGGGGAACTTGGCACAAAGGACCAGGTCCTTCTGAGTTATGTCCACAGCCAGCTGGCAAGGGGAATGTCAGTGCTTATATAACAGATTGTTAAGACTTCAAGAGATTGACAGGCCACAGGCCATTTCAGAGTGTCAGCCACTGTTTGGAGTTCAAAGAAGCTGAGAGAGAATTAGGGACTCAGAGGAAATGCCATGTGACAAGCCTCCACACTGTCTGAGGTTCATGTAGACAGAATTAGAAGAGTCATATGTTTCTTCCCAATACTCCTCAGAATCACCTTTGATCTGAGTCTTGAGAACTGCAAGGGACAGCCAGCAGTTATTGGGGAGGTCAGAATGGGGAGACAGCAGGATTTCAGACCCACCCCACCCTGTATGCACCAACTCAGCCCCGTGAGCACTGAACCCGCTGTTCTGGTGGGAACTTTGCCGATGCGTGTCCTGTAGGGTCCAGCTTTTTTGACTCAGGGCTCAGCCTGGCTACTGAGGCATCTTTCTAGATACACTCTCCACGCCCTCTCCACCCTGGCCTTCTCTTCCTCAGAGCACTGGCAGGAGCTGTCTGGGGCAGCTGTAGCAAACCACCTCCAACCATGTCTCCCGCACCTCACTGCTGTTCCCCTCAAAACAGAACTCCCCATGGAGGCTGAGTGTGAAGCCTGGGCTAGAGCCACATTGCCCCTAAAACTCTGGGTAGACTCCTGGATGATTGACAGCTCCCCATGGTGCTCTGTCTGTGGTTTCCTTACCCAAGTTCTGCCTGTCTTAACCTGGTCTTTCCTCAGACACACACACACTCACACACACAGAGACACACACACTCACAGACACATACATATACACTCACACACAGAGAGACACACTCACAGACACACACATATACTCTCATACACAGAGAGACACACATACACTCAGACACACATATACATTCATACACAGAGAGACACACACTCACAAACACACATGCACAGACAGGCACACATACCCAGACACACACACACACACACACACACACACACACACACACACACTCACAGATACACACACACACAGAGACATATGCTCACAGACACACACATATACACTATACACTCACACACAGAGAGACACACACACAGAGATACACACAGAGACACACACACTCACAGACACACAGAGACACTCAAACACACACACATATACACTCACACACAGACACACACACATATACACTCACACACACACTCACTCAAGTCACACACATATACACTCACACACAGACACACACACACACATATATATACTCACATACACACACTCACTGACTCACAGTCACACACATATACACTTACACACAGAGACACACACATCAATAAAAGAAGACTACTTGGGTGGTGTGTTCCTGCCTATTACCCTACCCTCATTACCCTTCACTAGTAGATGAGCCAGAGAAGAAAGGAGGGCCAGCAGCTGCTACAATTGCTAGATACTGGGTGAAGAGTCACAGAGGTAGAGAGACAGGGAAAACAGGAGCTGAAGACAGCAGCCACACTCAGGACATTCATGGTGACAACAGGGGCCAAGGCAAAAAAAAAAAAAAAAAAAAAAAAAAAAAAAAAATGCTGATACCCCAGGTGGCAACTGTGACAGTGGTCATATAAACAACAAGCAGGTTCTGGTAGATGTCCAGGGCAGAATCAAGAGAGAAGGCTGAAGGAAAGAGATGGGACAAGAGAGAGCTTAGAGAAGAGAAACTAAAGACACTGGGTGCAAGAAGAATTCTGAGAACGGGCAGGCTTTAAAAGCCCAGAGTCTCAGACACCACTGTCAATAGATGGGGACCCCACCTTTCTGGGCCTACACAGACCAGTCACACATGGATAAGTCCCAGTAGCCAGGGCAGCATGAGAGCTATAAAGCTGGACAGCGCCACTTGCTCCTGGTCCCAGCCACCTGCTGCTTCCATACACTGCTGTCTGCAGCTGAGAAATGTAAAAGTTGCCCAAGATCTACAACCCTATCTCTACAAAGCAAAAGTACCCCCAGCCAGGTGACTGGTAACACTACCAGACCCAGGGGCAACCTGGGCGGCACTGACCTCAAGGAGGATTCTTGGATACCTAGACATCAGGCATGGAGATTGGGACTACAAAACTAAGGAAACCAAAGGATATGACTCACATAAACACAGTCTGCCAGTCAGTCTGTGGCCCGGAGATCATCTCAGCATCCCCTTGTCCTAGTAGGATGAAGTGGTCTGCTGCCAGGGTTCTCAAGATCCTATGATCTCAGCTCCCTGCAGGACCCTCTAGGATAAAGGTTTCCTGAATTGAATCTTCTAAATGATGGCTATGGTTTGCACATGGGACAGGTTTCCTCTTGCTATGAAAAGACCATCTGCAATGCATTGGCCACAGAAGCCACACAGAGAGCCATCTTCCTCATAGCCATGAGTTGTATTACAATCTGCAATTGCACTTTTAAAATATAAAATAAGTTGGCACTGTGTGGGAATAGCAATCATGGCTGAATGAAAAGTGCAACATTTGTGGAGAAGTCTCACAGTGACTCTGTTTTGTCCACTATTGGTGATATGGGTAGTTTAATGTTTTCAGTGTCACACTAACCTTGCATTGCAGTTATGAAACACATCTACCTACAATGTTTTCTGTCTTGCTTTCTATTTTTTTTTTTTTGAGACAGGGTTTCTCTGTGCAGCTCTGGCTGTCCTGGAACTCACTCTGTAGACCAGGTTGACCTCAAACTCAGAGAAACACTTGACTCTGCCTCCCGAGTGCTGGGATTAAAGGTGTGATCCACTGCCCAGCTCAATGTTTTCTTTTTTTCCCTAAGGGAGAGCTCCAACAGAGTCCCCAACTACCACAAAATTATGCAGTCGAGTTTCTTGCATTTGGGGAAATCTCAGGAGTCAGCACATCCCTAGTGCAGTGGATAAGGCTCACCCAGGGAATACCACATTCATGATCATGGTGTCTCTCCTGCCAGATAAGTATGCTTCTTTTTTCAAGACAGATTAATTTTATTTTTAATTATGTGTGCATCAGTGTGGAGGTATGTGCATGTGTGGGGGTCCTCAGAGACAGAATAGGGTATCAAATCCCTTGGGGGTGGAGTTACCTGTGGTTGTGAGATGACAAACATGGGAGGTACGAATCGAACTCAGGTCCTCAGGAGGAGCAGTACAGGCTCTTGACCACTGAGTCAGCTCTCCAGCCCCCTTCAATGTTCTCTGCATGCAACATACTGGGACTTCAGTTGTGCTCAGATTTTATAGAGTATTTTCTGACTACACCACAGTTAAAATTGTCCTGAAAGTTTTTAATACCACTAATGTGTTATCAGGCTTTCTTTTCAGGTTATTCTTACCTCATTAAAAAGCAAAACAAGTCTCTCCAATTTAGACATTTAATGTTGAAGTATGAAAGTCTTTTTTTTGAAAGTCTTACTATAATCTCTTCCTCAGTTGAGTTTACTAGAAAACTTAAATAGTGTGAAGATTTTCAATATAAGTGTTTGTTTTGTAGAGACAGGGTCTCACCATACAGATCAGGCTGGCCTTGAACAGTCCTGCCTCAGCCTCCCAAGTTCGGTCATTATAGGCGGTAGCCATGATGCCTGGCTATACTCTAACATACAAAGGGCCATGGAGATTCTGCTCTCCTCCCTGTGTCAATGCAGGTTCTTCTAAGGGATCTGCGCGTCTTGTATAGGCTGTCAGATTAGTTTCATAAGGTTGAAACTAATTCATAAGTCCATAAGTTCACAACCTTGTCTTATTCTGTTAACATGTAATGCCATGCTAGTACTGGAATGATACCTTCCTTTTTAATTACTGATGACACTATTTGGAATTTCCTTATCCTTGGTCAGCTTGGCTACAGCTGATCAGTATTGGTCAATTCTGTAACTATTCCATTTTTCTTTTATTGTCAGCTGCATATTCGCTTGGCTTTCTTCTAACATCTGGCTTATAATGTTTTAAGGTACCATGAGAGGGAGTTTAAGAATGTAGATTTTGTGTCTGCCTTCTTTCTGCTACAGTATTTACAGCCATGAGTCTCCACGTCAGCTCTGACAGCTGCTCTGCACAAAGTTCCCTGTGCAGGACTGAAAATCCACAGGCTGACATCAAAGAGACTAGTATCATCTCTACCAGCCAACAGATGGGGTGGTTCTGTTCACAGGTGAATCCCATAGATTGAATCTTCAGTGTCTAACTAACCTTGCATTCTGGGGATAACCTCACTCCCACCACAAGTTCACATTCCACTCCCCAATCTCCCCCCTGCTTTCCAATCACCGTCCCCTCATCCCTGTCTCATAGCATCTGGATCCAAAGATGTTTCCTCAAACTCTCTGTAAGTCTCTCTGGAATATTACAGACAAAACCCCACTGCATGTGACCTCTCTGGACTGAATAAGTTCATTCAGTGTGACACCTTTGAGAGTAATTCACATGCTGTCTCTGCCAGCAAACTGGTTCTTTTTGTTGCTGGCTAGTACTTCACTGTGTGGACGCACCAGAGTTTGCCCATCATTTCTACGTCTAGGTCATTATAAAGTACACTTACCTGGAAGCTTTAGTATGAGGCTATGTTTGCATATTTCCAAGTTTACCTGAAAGAAATTGCTAGACCATAGGCTGAGTACGTATGCCAATGTAAGGACTTGCAAACTGTTTTCCAATATGTATGTACACCCTTCTGTGTTCCCTCAACAGTGCACATAGTCACTGTTATCTAACAATGCATGGCTATTGTCTTGGCCATGTGGCTTCTGTCTTTCCCTGATGTCTGGGAAGTTCCCATGGGTGTGTGAGGTGGCTGCCACCCACACATTTTCCTCGACCATGTCTGTTCAAGTGCTTTGTTCATGTTCCCTGGGTGGTTTGCTTTCCTGATATTAAGGATTGAGGTTTCCTCACCGACACTAGTGTTATTCCTGTAAGTTGAAAGGCTTTTTCAATGCTTAGTTTGTTTTTCTGTTCACCTAACTGTGTCCTACATAACTGTTCTCTCTGTGAGGAAGTCAACCCACTAATTTCCCTTTCCAGGAAGCCTCCTTGCTGGCAGATCCCAGAACCACCTTCCCACCCAGGTCTTGACAATCATTTCTTTGTTTTCATCTGATTGCTTTGAGATCAGCAGGAAGTTGAGGACTGCAATCCTGTCAGAGCTGCCTCTGTGAGGAACGCCCATGCCTTCGTTAAGGTCTGCCGACCTGCCCGTGGTGGCCAGCTGATCCGGTGCCACAGGTCAGAAAGGTGATCTTGTTTCTGGAGACTGCGATTGTACCTTTGTCAGAAACTAAGCTGCATTTGATAAAAGGTATTTTAATGAGAGAGGTAGCATTGTGAGCAACTGGGACTGGGACATTTCATGTTCTCTCAGAGGGGGGAGAAGCCCAGAACCATTATCTTGTCAGTTTCTATCCCTGCTGACTATGTGTTAGCCAGGTTCTCACCATCTCCTTAAGCACTGGAGGGGGCACCTAGAAAGGAGAAAGGAGTTATTTTGGCTCCTGGTTTCAGAGGTCCCACATACGACTGTTTAGCTTCATGGCTGAGGGCCTGTGGTGAGTCAGAGCATCATGGCAGAGGTTAGGTGGAACAGCTGGACATCTCATAGTGTCAAGGAAGCAGAGAGAAGGACAAGCAGCCTGGATGAGATTCAATTGAAGGAGGTACTCACAGTGATTAATTTCTAACCGCCCGGGCTTTGGTCAGCAGAGCATCCCAAAATAGGGCCTCCAGCTAAGACTAAGCCTTCAACACACTGACCTGTGGTGGAGGCTTCAGGCATCCATGATAGTGTGATTATCAACCTCACACCTGCACTTCAAGGCTGTGTGTCTGAGAAACACAAAAGGGAGGTGCAGGCACTTGACCAGGTGTCAGGGTGTCAGGAGTGTCTGTCACAGCTTCAGCGGACTCTGTGAGTTGGCTGTCAGCACTGTTAGCCACAGCCTACCATGGGCACTGACTCATTAGGCTTAAAATTGAGTACACACTGGGCTTTCAGGATGTCAGAGACACAGTCTCTGAAAAGGTTTACCAGATGGTCATGGGGACAAGTGGCTGCTTTGTCTTCTTTGTTGATGTTCACCTGTCTCATGCCTTCTAGATGTGCCTCAGCTCTAGCCAGCTGCCTCCTGCCTTGGTGCTGTGGTGGGAGCCATCTCCTTACATGTAAACACCATGTGAAGCCCAGACATTGGCTCTCCACTGAGTATCTAGAATGAGCAGCACCATGAAGCTTGGACCTCACTGAGAATCAGAGGCAAAGGTGGAGAGGCAGGTGACCAGAAACAGAAACAGGCAGCCCCACAGCAACTGCCACCAGAAAGTAAAGGAGTACCCAAGGGACATACTACAGGCCATGCAACATTGGGGATGGGAAGCTTTTCTGTCATGCTTTACCATCTCCCAGTGATGGCCCTGGCATCTGTACTGCTGTGTCCTGGAAGCCTCTGCCCTCAGTAGAACATAACCTCAAGTCCCAGGTCCTGGGCTGCCCCAGGTGCTGTCCTACCTAGATTTGAGTACTATGTGCCATACATACTACATCCTCCAAGCATAGCGGCTATTATCTTCATCAGAGCAAACTTAGCTACTTGCAAGAGACTCTCAACATCTGGCCTGTTGACTGTTAATGTTTAGTCATAGGAGGTGTTGGGAGAGTTATTGGATCCTCACCTGGGATTCCAATCATTCTTTCCTGTACCTCCCATGCCCCTAAAGGTAATTCTGATCTAATTACATGTGGTCTCCTGATCTCAGGAGGTGTGAATGTATATAGACTGTGAAGGGTTTATTTGAAGAAATGATGGAGAAGTCATCACCCATGGTAGGTGAGACTGTTAAATGGTAGGGATGCTTTAAGATCACACTTGGTCTGTAAACAATCCCAATAAGCCCACTGATTTTCCAAGCTGGAAATTGGCGGAGTCATAGTTTGATTTGTCATTAGTACACATTTGATGGGGGAGATATTTGCTAATGTATCCACCAGGAAAATGTTCATGCAACATACCTGTTCCCATGAGTGTCTGTTTCCACGTTAACATAACTACTACCTGCAATCAGTGTGAGAACTGGGAGAACTCAGACACTGGGACAGAAGAAGGGAGGTGGATAATGGCAGGCATCTGCAGGCTGTCACTGGTACTCAGAGCACTGTTGGTGTCCCAGGCTCTGCCAGTCATGTATGTGTTGTTCCCCTGCTGTCTCATGGATTGAAACACATGTAACTGTGTGGTAAGGCAATTAGATAAATGATTCATACATGCAAGCAGAAGAAAACATGTCAGGCACAAGGCCTCGCCAATGATAGGGAAATGCTAGCCTGCTTCCTGACCTCTGGTCTCAAAGAACACAGACAGGGAACAACCCTCTCTCACCCAGGTGGTAGCCGCTTCCTGCTCAGAAGCAAATTCCATGGTGTGGGCCAAGGAATGGTTCATGCTGGTGCCTTCACTCAACCCCAGAACCTGTCAGAGAAAGTTCATTAATATCATTTATAGACTCTTGGAGCTGCCTAATCCTGGTCCAGAGAGGCATAAAGATGGTATTGTGGGACCAGAACTTTTCCCTAGGGATTAGGTCAGTTGGGGTCAGGGAGGGTGGCTGAACGCAGGTTCAAGAGTAAAAAGCATAGTTCCTGCTGGCGAGGTAGCTGGGCTGAGGCAAAGCCAGAGGGAGAGAGATAGAGACAGACAGACAGACAGACAGACAGACAGACAGACAGACAGACAGAGACAGAGAGATCTGGCCATGTTGAGAACCTGTGGGTGTTCAAAGCTAATGAGGAGGAAGCTGTAGACTCCAGTAGAACCAAGTTCAACAGGAGCACAGGGGTGTGTTCAGGACAGGCTGGGATGGACACTGGTTCTTCATCCTACCTCAGGGCACAAGGCGGCAAGAAATGAACACACATGGACCTCAGTTGTACCAGGGCAGCCCTGGCTCTGAAAATGTCCTCTCAACAGGTCCTCAGATGACAAGAGCAGGAGAAGGTCAAGTCCCCTGGTTGGGGACAAATCCCCCTGAGGACAGATGTGAAGCCCCCTTCAGGATCTGTGTGGCTGGAAATCTTCATGGAGACAACTTAAAATTGTGAGCTATGGAAATGAACCCTAACTGGTTGAGTAGATGGGCACTGGTCAGTTAGTGGAAAAGGCAAAAGACATCTGGGAGTAAGGAGTGGTCTGCAGAGGGCACAGCCGGCCTCAGTGCAGAACTAAGTGCGTCAGGGTCATGGTATGCCTAGTGTCTCACGGGGTCTACCCTGGTGATGTTTAAGCTGACTAGAGTCAGGCGTTTGTGTCCCCACTTGCAGGTGGGATATCCACATAGGGCTAGGACAATGAAGTGTGCTGCCTCCATGCAGGGACCAAGCCATATGGGTACTAGCAGATACTATCTGGGGGTGAACCCCAGCTCCATTCTCAGCAGCTGGAGGTCAGAGGCCAAGTCTCAGGGGACATTGCTCAGGGAAGCCATGGTGATGTAGGGGAGGAATATGTAGAGAAGCCTGACCCTCCCTCCATGCTCAAAGTGCAACCTCCCTGCACCTGAGCCACTCATCCTCCCCAGGGACCTTTGTGAGCACAACACTTGGTGGCACAGAATTGCAGGGCATTGTGTGTCTTTCTTCATCTGTAGGTGACACTGAGTTGATATTCATCAGAAACCAACAACAACAACCTTCTACCTCCATGATGGATGTGGATTTGGCCATGATAGAAGGACGGGAGGGACATGGCCAGTGCCAAGTGGGCACACATCCCTGGCCATGGGGGATATAAAGGGCACCCTACAAGCAGCCAAAGGAGACATTCTCCAGGTGACCTGCCTTGTGTGAGGGCTAGCAACAGAAGATGAGGAACCTTCTCCTAACCGTCTTGCTTCTAGGGCTGGTGACTGTACTGAAGGCCCAGGAAGTTTCATCTGATTACCAGGAGGAGGTGAGGAGGTCCTGCCTTGTGTGAGGGCTAGCAACAGAAGATGAAGAACCTTCTCCTAACCGTCTTGCTTCTAGGGCTGGTGGCTATACTGAAGGCCCAGGAAGTTTCATCTGATTACCAGGAGGAGGTGAGGAGGGGTGGGGCAATGGGTGGAGGTTGGAGGAAGGCACAACCCTTGTCAGTGATGGTAGACTTGTTCAAGTGGTGTCTTGAATACTGAAGTCCATCCTTGCACCATAGCTTGAGATTGTCAGATCAGTGACTCCACTGTTTACCAGCAGAGAGAGCCTCTCCAGGCCTGGAGCAGGCAGTGGGTTTGGGGCATGGGTCTTTGTTGATGAGACACGGGGTACCAGAAAGCTTCACTGGGTGGGATCTTCTGGACAGAGGCCTTGTCCAGTGCCAAATTCCTGACCTCTAAGAGTGTGTACTTAGAAGGCAGACAGTCTCTGCCTTCATGGGCCAGAGAACCCAAGTGTTGGGCTCTCTCTACAGTGGGCATGGGTAGGGATGTGTGGTGTCAGCCCTCTTCAGAGCTGCAGGCCGAGCTCTGGAACATCTGTTAAGGTTGCAGGATGATACTGGAGTCTGGGGAGAATAAGAGTCAGGCTGGTGTATGTTCAGGCTCTCTGTTCTGCAGCTTTCTGGGACCTGGTACGTAAAGGCCATGGTATGTGATAATAACCGCACAGAGGGGAAGGGCCCCAAGAAAGTGTTCCCTATGACAGTGACAGCCCTGGAAGAAGGGGACTTGGAGGTGGAAATAACATTCTGGTGAGTGTCCACAGCAAATCTCTGCAATTTTCTCTCAGTTCTTCTCCATTCTTATTTTGGTGTGGGTGTTGGAATGCCCCTGCCTTTGCGGGGGGTGGGGTGTCATGGTGCCAGGCAATACTCTAAATCTTGTGTGGGCTGATGTGAAATTCTGGGGTCATCTGGTCAGGACTGATTCACCTGCTGAGTTGAGCATGGCCCCTGTTTTACAGGAAGAAGAATCAGTGTCACAAGAAGAAAATTGTAATGCACAAAACTGATGAGCCTGGGAAATACACTGCCTGTGAGTCCCCTGTGGGCCAGGGTGTTTTGCAGGGGTGAGTTTCTGCATAGAGGGTCCCTGACTTGTTCAGCACCCAGTATGCTCATCCGCTCACATTCCATGAGCTACACATAGAGGTCATGGGTTAGTCCATCCCAGGTACCGGCTGATGTGCTCTGCCCCACCCCCTCCATCTTAGCTCTGGGCCCAATGTTAAGTACAGGGAAGTACTCAGGCCTGGGGCCAACCTCAGCCCTCACGTCCTCTGGCCGCCAGCGGGGCCTGGCAATGTTCTGGGAGATGGCTTCTGTCTGATGGTGGAGATCACAGAAAGATGAGAGCTAGCCTGGCTGCATCTCCTGGATGACCACAATTGTTTGAGAGCATTCCTTTGAAAACCTCCAAAGGTTTTCCAAGAAATGAAATTCTAAGAGACATTTCTCTGTTCATGTGTAGTCAAGGGCAAGAAGGTCATCTATATTCATGAGCTGCCAGTGAAGGACCACTACATCTTCTACTGTGAAGGCCGGCTCCAGGGGAAGTTACATCGCAAGGGGAAACTCGTGGGTGAGGAACCACAGAGTCCCCCACATCCTGTCCATGGTCTCTGCTTCTTACAGCTGTAAGAAGGGCTATTAGAAGGGAACTGGGAAGCCTCAGGGTGCTGCTCAGACAGGATGTAAGATCCAAAGTGGAATGTGGGTGAGTTGGGAGAAGACCTGGTTCATGTGACCTTGGAGGCCTGAGCCTTCAAGAGGGATTCCCACCTCTGGAGCTGGAAAATGCCATTCCTAGGGGTCTCAGGTAACTGCCAGTCAATATGAAGGTGAATAACTCGATAAGGATCTTGATGTATATGTAGCATCTTCCAAGCTCAGGGGACAGCCCCGTGCATCTGTCTCTTAGTTAGGGTTTCCATTGTTGTGAAGAGACACCATGACCAAGGCAACTCTGATAAAAGAAGACATTTAACTGGGTGGCTTACAGTTCAGAGATCCAGTCTATTGTCATCATGATGGGATATGGCTGTGTGCAGGTAGACATGGTGCTGGAGAAGTCGCTGAAAGTCCTTCATCTTGATTTGAAATCAACAGGAAGTGGTTTGCAACACTGGGCATGGTTTGAACATACCACAAAGCCCACCCCCATGACACACATTTTCTCCAGTAAGACCACATCTATTCCATATATCCACACATTCTAATAGTGCCACTCCCTGTGAGCTTATGGGGCCAATTACATTCAAACTACCACACTCTGAGTGTGAGACTTTTACTGGTCTGGGAAGTGACCCTGAAAGCCTCTTAATGTTCACAAAGATCCAGAGCTTTTACTGGTCTGGGAAGTGACCCTGAAAGCCTCTTAATGTTCACAAAGGGGTCCCCAGGACCATTAGGTGTCTGGGAGTCCTCATCCCAGAGCTGTCCTCTTCCCTCTGACTGCTCTAGGTTGACAGCCCCAGTGCTGGTCAGTGTTCTTGGTCTTCACCCCTGGTTCCCTGCAGAGCTCTGCATCACTGCTGCCCGGCTCACCTTGCCCTCTCCCCATAGGGAAAAACCCTGAGGACAACCCAGAAGCCATGGAAGAATTTAAGAAATTCATACAGCGCAAGAAATTCCCACAGGAAAACATCTTCGTGCCAGAGCAGAGGGGTGAGAGTGGGACTGCCCAGCCCATGTCCTTTCCCCACCTCACCCCACCCCACCCCGTTTCTCCTCTAAGTCTTCCTGAGAGCACTCTGTCACTGTTCTTCTTTGTCTGCAGTGTCCATCCCATCTCTGCGTGTCCCTTTATGCTTCTGGGTACCAGAGTGTCACTCTGTTACTCAGGCATTGTTGGCTCCCCACAAACCCCACTTCCCCCTCATTAGGGCACCAGAGCCCAGGTTCAAGTCTTGGCTGTGGAAGGGTCTGAGCTGTAGGTTTGATGGGGTTCTTATCCAGAACTCCTTCTCACCCCTGGTCTTTTCTTGCTTTCTACAGATCAGTGCGTCTCTGAGGGTAACTAGGGTAAGTGGCCTTCTGGGAGGACCATGGAAAAGCCTAGTGTCCTGGGTTGTGGAGGTGGAGGGTTCATGTTCATTGACCCTTGTCATCCACTTGCACAGAAATGGTGTACTGGAGAAGTGATTCTGGACTAATCCCTGGACTTTACTCTATGCATGGTTATATCTCCCTACATCCCATACCCAGAGACACTTGGCAGGTCATGGGTGTAAGGGATAGGATCACTCTCATGGCTGTGGCTGTGGAACAATGATTGCACACATGCACTAGGATAGGAGACCTCTGGCAAGTTCCTGCCACTTACCTGTGTTCTCTTTGGCACAGAAGCCAATCATGGATACACTTGCTGGTTCTGCCATCACATCAACACAGTTCACAGTTCTGGGATATCCTTGGACTTCTCCCCTGGCCCACTTTCCCTACCTTCACTGCTTGATTTCCCTCCTATCTCAGCTCCATCCATCACCAATACTAGTTAACTCCTAATAAAGCATTTCAGCATCATTCTGGCTCAGCCTGTCTGTAAAGGGCTTTGCATTGGCTCCCTAAAAGCTCTGACAATGTAGAGCCTTGTGGATGTTGGGGAAGATTTTGGGCTCAGCAAAAGCCAGTTCCTGAAGAGCATGAACTGTATTTAAGTCAGGGTTCTCTAGAGAAACCGACATAATTGAATGAATCTATGCAAGACAGAGTCTTCCACCAATGACTGTTTCCTGATGGGAAATCCAAGAATCTAGTAGTTGTTCAGTCCATGAGGCTGGATGTCTTAACTAGTCTTCAGTGTATGCCAGAATCCTAAAAGGAAGGCTCTAATATCAGTGAAGAAATTAACCTGATGGCAAGAGAAAGCAGACAAAAAGCAAGCACTCCCTTTTTCCATGTCCTTTATATAGGCTTCCACGAGAATGTGTGACCCTGATTTTAAGAGGATTATCCCACATCAAAGGCTCTGGATTTAGGCTGGGTCTTCCCACCTCAAATAATTCAATTGTGAAAAATCCCTCACAGGTGTGTTCAGTAGCTTGGGTTTGGTAGTTGAGTTGACAAGCGATGGCCATCACATCCATCTTGTAGGGATATTATCAAGGCCCAACTAAACAGCCATTGGCTCACATGGCTTGTTTCACATGAACTAATGAAGCCACACATCTTTATTGCATCTAGGCCTATCAGTCCCTCTGTGTAGCATGAATAATAAAAACCCAGAGAGATATTGCAGTTTAAGCTGAAGATCAGAAAAGCATAGAAGCCAACTCATAACTCTTACTTCTACCAAGGTTAAAATGAGGTCCTGTCTTCCCTGTGATTGGAAACTAAATCTCACATGAGACCCTTTGCCTTTATATGCCTCTCTAGTGCTGGTGTTCGACTTTTGAGTTCTATTACTCTTTTAGACTAATTCAGTCTTGTGTAGCCCAGGGTGGTCTTGGACTCACATAGATCCATCTGCCTCGGTCTCCTGAATCCTGGGATTAAAGTTATGTACCACGACTGCCCATCTTCTATGGCTAACCAGTGTGGCTGACTTTGCACTCTGATCTTCATAGGTTTTATTTTTTTCTTCATTGGTTTTATTAGATCATACAAAATATCTCACCACAACTCTGTGCTTATCTTATGAAATTTGGTACACAAATATTTGAATCTTCTTTTAAGAGTTTTTATTTTTATATATGAATGTTTGCCTCCTGTATGTATGTGTGGTGCCCATGGAGGTCAGAAGAGAGCATTGGATCCCCAGAGCTAGAGTTACAGATGAACACAAACCATCACATGGGTTCTGGGAACCTAACCAGGGTGCTCTACAAGAGCAGCCAGTGCTCTTAACCACTGAGCCATCTCTCCAACCTCATATTGAATCTTCTTGGTGGATTGTTCCTGTTATTAAAATGTAGCGGCCTTGCTTATCTTTCCTTACTAATTTTGGCTTGAGACTTACTTTGTCAGACTGAGTAGAAACACTTCCTTTCTTGATTTTGCCTTCTATTTCATGTGTTTTGATTTTTATTTTTTCATCTTCAGCCTGTGTGTATCTTTGTCAGTGAGACATTGAAAGGTGATCCTAATTAGCCCTATTAATAAAAACTCAGGAGTTAAATGTCTGGATAAAAACTGAAAGATCAGAGAAGTAAAGCAGCAGCTACCAGAGATTTTTTTACTTCTCTGAATTCTTTGACAAAAGGCCAAGATCCTGTCTCTGCCCCATCTTATCACTTCTTGTCTGTCTGTACAGGCATCCAGATCTCTATGGTTAACCAGTGGCTAGCTCTACTCTCTGATCTCCAGGCAAGCTTTATTTGTCAGAACACAAACAAAATATCACACAGCATTTCCCCTTTGTGGTCTAAATAAAAAGTGAAGGTTTTAACTAACATAGAAAAACTATGATATACATATCATATATATATTACAAAATAACTATATAAAATATATAACGGCAATTACACTAACAAAGTCTAGTCCATTAACATTTGACAAATTCAGAGAAAATACTCCATTATCTATCCTATCTTGTTCAGTCCAAAGTGTTGTACCTAATTCACTTTCTATCCTAACTTGTACCATCAACCCAAACCTATCTTTTGATGTGTCTCAACTTTATACACTTACACCTCTTTAGTGAATTTCTTTTCTGAATTACTTAACAAGAAAAAGTATAACTATCTAATCTCCAACTCCATCAAAAACCTGAGAAGTTTCCTTACCTGAGTTAATATTACCTGAGTAAACAGGAAGTGCAGGCAAGCGACTTCCAGAAAATGTGACAAATGACAGAAACAGCTGGCTGCCTGGACAGTCACCCAAGGCAGTCACCCAAGGTTCCTCTGAAACACTGGGGGCATCCAGCTTCCTCCCTGAACCTTAAATACCATATTCTCTAGATCTCTGAAATGTTTGATGATGACCTGTCTACCTAAAATGTATCTCTGTTTGACCTTAAAAACATACCTAATACGACAAGTTTGATTTAATAGGTGACTAATGCAACCCTGTATTCTTATATTATCCTAAATAGCTTGTAATACTAACTTTTGAGGACTAAAAATTTGCATTACATTGCTAAATGAGATGTATAGGTACAAAACCTTGAACAAAATTAGAATTGTATTACAGTATGTTCTAACCAAAATAACCATAATTTGCATCAATATACAAAAATCCATATCAATGTAAAATATTTAAAACTAGTAGTTGCTTCTTTTGGTTTAAAAGTCTAATCAATAATCTACCTTTTATCCTATCATTTCTATAACATATATACTATATAGCAAAAATAACCTCAATTTTTTATCAATATAAATTCTTCACCAATGTAAAATATTTAAGACCAGTACTTGCTTTTTTTGGTTTAAAAGTAGATTCAATAATCTACCCTTTTATCCCATCATAGCTATATCCTCCTTATTTCTTATCAGAACAAGATCCCTGAATCTAATTCCTTTGTTCGGCTTTTTTCTTGATCATTACCAACCCCTCTAAACGATGACACATATCCGTAATCCACCGAACGACCAAAAATTCCCTGTCCCACATCTTGAGAAGGTAGGTATCATGTTCTTAAAATTACTTCATGCTGTCTTGTGGTGACAGCATCTTTAGGGGACCCTGAAAAAAATGTGATAATTTTCAAGTCCTGGGAGAGCTAGCTGTATCATTTGTCATCCAATCTCTGTGTAATGGGAAAATGCAGGACTTACCCCAAGTCCTGGCTAGAGTAGTCTGTGAAGCTGGACCATCTCAGATAACCATCTTGAAATTTTCCTGAGCAGAATGCAATCCAAAACTGATCTTTGGGTGGTGTTTGTCAGCTTAGCAGTATTACTGTAGTCCTGATGGGATCATCGCTATGGGGACACAACCTACCTCTAGTATGCAGCAGAAGGATGAATTATGTCTTCACATCCATTCTGCTAGCCTGTGTCTTTTTATAGGCAAATTGATACCATTGATATTGAGAGATATTAATGACCTTGATTGTTGATTCTTGTTTGCTTTGGATTTGTTTTGGTGGTGATATTGTGTGTGGATTTCCCTCTTTTTTGGCTTTTGGCTTTTGGTAAAGTGGAATTATCTATTACCTATGTTTTTGTGAGTGTAGTTAACTTCCTTGGGTTGCAGATTTTCTTTCAGTACTTTCTGTAGGGCTGGATATGCATTGTTTAAATCTGGTTTTGTCATGGAATATCTTATTTTCTATAGTGACTGAGAGCTATTTGGATATAGTAGTCTTGTCTGGCATCCATGGCCTTTTAATATTTGTAGAACATCTATCCAGGACCTTCTGGCTTTCAGAGTTTCCATTGAGAAGTCAGGTGTAATTCTGATAGGTCTGCTTTTATATGTAACTTGGCCTTTTTCCTTTGCTGCTGTTAATATTCTTTCTTTGTTCTGTATGTTTTGTGTTTTTATTTTTATGTGATGAGGGGACTTTCTTTTGATCCAGTCTATTTGGTGTTCTGTAAGCTTCTTGTACTTTCATAGGTATGTTCTTCTTTATGTTGGTAAAGTTTTCTTCTAGGATTTTGTTGAATATGTTTTCTGCACCTTTGAGGTGGGTTTCTTCTTTTAAAAGATTTATTTATTATGTATACAGTGTTCTGTCTGCATATATACCTGCAGAAGAGGGCACCAGATATCATTATAGA